TCTATTACCACTTTCACTTATCATAACTTGCCCACCTTTGGTGAAAGCTATGGGACACGCAGGTATAGAAAACCAATCCCCATACCTTATTTTGGGTATTCTAAACAACTTGATCCAAGATTTTGTTTTAGCTACCCTATCCTCCTCCGTTACCCATACATCAGAATGAAAAGTATTAAAAGTGCTAGCCAAGCAAAGAAAACCTTCCAAGAACCCCAATTCACTACACTTCATCAACTAGTCATTGCCACATAAAGATGCTTCCTCTCTCAGTTCATCTCTTTCAAAATCAAAACACAATATCACAGGCATTTGTGATTTCTTCTTAGCAATCCAGTAGAGACAATTATTGACAGTGATTGCCTCTCTATTGGATGCCATAGTAAATTGGTAATGCACGTTGTTTATAGCAGCATGCAACAAGCCCGTCTTTAACCTCAAGCTATGAACGCTTCTCCAACCTGAACCTTTGATGAATACCGCCTTATAATCATCAATGACAGAATCATAACCAAACCCCATCCCATGGTGGTTTAGTTTTACAGATAACATTACTCTCTTATGTTCTATTGTCAACGGGTTCCAAACTATCACCATATCTTTGGAAACAATGGTACCAGGTCCAGGTGGATGGAAGCTCCTTGTACCTGTGAAGATGCATAAGATACCATCACAGTGAATTATAGCCGGAGCACGATCCCCGCTTGGATATTCAACATTTACTGCTTCAAGGCTCCCTCCACCCTCTAAACAACTCTATTCTTAAACTATACAATGATGGAGGAGATATAAAGAAATTTTTGTCACCAAAAGATGATATTTTATGAATTTGGAACTGGAAAATAAAAGTCTCCACGCTTTGGTTAGGCATTTAAAACGCATTAGAGACCTTAATGGAAGTCTTGAGAAAATATCATAAAGAAGATATTGAGGGAAATACAAATTCTGCATAACTTAGAATATTTATTTGTTGTTAGGGAAAAAAAGGGAGAAGATTGTAGCTTCCAAAGAAGTTCGAATTAAAGGCCAAAGAGGTAAGGTGTTACAGGTAAGGTGTTATACTAATAAGAATAGTGTAATAATCATTAATCGAATTGTAATTGGAATACTCATTAATTATAATTCTATTTGAATAATGATTTCAAAAAATATTCCTTCATTCTTGTTCAATTCAAGCTGTTATTCTCTCTCTCTCTCTCTCTATTTGCCTTAAGTAAATTTTTTGGGCACCAAAAACCCTGAAGTACCAAATAAGCTCCCAACCTTTTACCAAACTCTATCACTAAAAATTAAATCTACTAATAAATAAATGTTATCTTTTTAAAATTTTTTAACTTGTGTCTTTAGGTTAAACTTCATTAAATATAATATTTTCAATTAATTCTATATAAATTTTTATGTCAGATTCAATTAAAATAAAGTATAAAATATAAAATTGAAATAAAATATAATATTTATACTTGAAATTTGTAAAAAAATATGAATATGGTATGAAAATTTGTGTAAAAATAGTTACAAATTCTGTAATTAATAAAGCTTAACTTGTGCAGACAAATCCTATCTTTTTTTTTTTAATTTTAGTTGCATAATGAGAAATAATTCTTTCTCGTTCTTTATGTTACTTTACTCGCATGCTATGCTATTCAAACTTAAGATCTTTGACTTTTAATAAAAGAAGATTACCACTGAATTATTTAAATCGTTGGCTAAATAAGTGTAAGTGTTATCTTTTAAATTAGATTTAGAGTTCAAGGCTTAAAATCAGTAACGAAGAAAAACTAATTTTCTTAAATATACCAAACCAATAATGGGATTATGCAATTACTTAGAGGTTGTGTTTGGGAACTTGAATTTGAATTTGATGAGTGTAATTAAAATACATGTATTTGAAATACATGTATTTAAAATACATATATTTTAAAATACATTGTTTGGATTGAATTAAAAAAATAAATTTCAAATACATACATTCTTAAATACATTGTTTGGATATTTTAAAATACTATGTATTTAAATTTGAATTTTTTTCATTAAATTAAATCTTTTTCTAATTATTATTTAAATTTAATAAAGTCAAAGTTAACAATTTTAATCTTTCAAAATATTATTTAAATTACCTCAAAATAAACAAATTGGATGAAAAAAAGCAACAATGATCTCTACTGATCAATTTGTCATCATATTCTCCATTTTCTGTTCATTTTTTTTATTGTCATCTAATATTCAATTTTTATAAAAATGGATTTATCATAAAAAAATTTCAATATGAAAAATAAAAAAAACAAAATAGTATCTAAAATGATTATCAACTATGCCCATTAACAAAATAATTGAGGTAACACTTCTTAATTGCAAAACGAAATAGAAATATAACATTTTTTATGGAAGATTTCTAACAATTATATTTATTAACAAGTAATTGAAGTAACACTCATTAATTGCAAAATGAAATATAAATATAACATTCTTTGTTGAAAGTTTTTAAGTAAACCATTGAAATGAGTTTGAAAGTTAAGATAGAATTAATCTTATAAAATTATAACTTTATTTTTTTTTAAATTGATATGGATACAAATTAATATAATTAATATACAAAAATTATAAAAAAATTATAAAAAAACTTATCCCTATGTCGCTTCATTATGAAAATGTAATCTTTGGCACTATTAATTCCAAAATTTCCTACCCAGTTATTGATGCCATTTGGCATGAGAAGTAACAGAAATTCAATTTAAACTCAAATGGAGCAAATCCTGATTTTTCTGGAAAGTATAATACCCTCAGAATCTCAATTCCATCCAATCACCGAAAAATCCGATTCAAGCAATCCCATCGAGAAACGCAAGCCCCTGCCGGAAAAGAGTCATTGCCGCCATCAGCCACCCCTTAACCACCATTGACAAAACAATTCCCAATTCCTCCCGAAGCCAACCAAACCCCTTCCTCCTCACCCATCATTGACAGGGCAAGATAGCCATGCCGCCTCGTAGTCCAAAGCAAAACTGATTGGTAAGCTAAGATACATCACTCTTTTTCCTCGACCCCCACCGCTTCCACCATCAGATCAAAATCTTCCTTGGCCAAAAACTCGGTCACCGCCATCATCATCCCTCTGTGTATGTTCCCCTTCTTGCCGCCAAGACTCGATGAATCTGCAGGAAAACTGCCTAAAGCAAATGAAACCCCAAAATCCTCCTCGCACAAAAAACCTGCTATCAAGGAGAGGTTTGGGTGGCCTCATCGTCGTCGGTGAGAGGAGAGAGTGGAGAGGAAATTCATTTCAAAATTGAAATTCATAGGTTGGAGAGTGAAATTGAAATACACGGGTTTAAACCAAAGTAGTCAATACCGTACCGGCATGCGTACCGATTTTGTTACTGGAACGGTACGTACCGGATACCGAAATTTTTCGCGTACCGTTTCGGATTTATCGTTATAAAAAAATTTTATGAAAAATTTGGGGGAGAAGTTGAAGAAAAAAAACAAGAAAAGGACTAAATTGAAAAAATTAAAAAG